CATAGTATTGTACTTGTCTTGGTGCTTACCTTTTAACTTTGCGCGAGTTTTCATGCTACTATTGAATGCAACTTGCAGGACTACATGAATTATAGAAAATATAGATATTTTAGACTTGATGGATCATCGGCTATTCAAGACCGCAGAGACATGGTTAGAGACTTCCAGCACAGGTAATGTCTTGCCATATTGCAGGGATACACGACCCTAGTGAGGTTACTAAACATTACTTTTATGCATTTGCTTATTGAAGCGTAGCAGAGGAATGGATAAAATAGAAACAAAAGAAAATTCGTGTTAAATATTACTGTGAAGGCTGAATGTAGGATAGATGGTTCAAGACGAATCACATTTGATGCTGCCAATTTAGCAACAGACACTGAGGACATAAATCCCTCCAAATCAGCTCCAAAATAAAAATACATGATTCAGAAAGTTGAATTGAGACAAATAACATTCTAACAATGACTTCTAAATGAAATTAAATCACGTGCACTCTTAACACTTACGATATTTGTAATTTTATGGATGCAGGAATGATGTTTTTGTGTTCTTACTTAGTACAAGGGCTGGTGGATTGGGTATCAACTTGACGGCTGCTGACACAGTAATCTTTTATGAGAGTGATTGGAATCCTACGTTGGATCAGCAGGCAATGGATAGAGCTCATCGATTGGGTCAAACAAAAGATGTTAGTTATCTCTTCCTCATTCCCCCTCCATGTGCATGCATTTGATAATGATTAAATGATAGTGTTGCGCTAATGTTTGAGGCCAATTGACATGAATGTTGGAAAAGGAAAGTTACTTTTTCCTTCTTTTTTGCTAATGTAGAAAGAGTAATATGCTAACTGCTTAATTTTAACCATGTCAATGGTTCTGGATCATTGAATTAATTGGCTGAATCATTCACCTTTCGTAGTAACAAAGAAAGTAAAAAGTGCAGTTGGTTAGATCCAATCTATTGTTGAAACGAACAACCTGCACGCTCCCTTTACAAAATAAATAGATAAATGCACCAAGCAAATGCTCTCTCTCTCAGTACATTCTTTGCTTGCATACATGCCACAGTTGTTCTCTTTCACCCTCCTTCACTTCCTGTGATCACGCCACTTTTCTGCAACAGAAAAGCTTTGATTTTTCTCAAGTTTTGTAACACTCAGTTTATTTTGGTTTCTTAACTGATTCTGTTTCATTTTAAATCTTGTAGGTCACTGTTTACAGACTTATATGTGAAGAAACAATTGAAGAGAAGATTCTTCTTAGAGCAGGCCAAAAAAGCACTGTACAGAACCTTGTCATGACTGGTGGTTCTGTTGGTGATTTTATAGATCCTGATGATGTTGTATCCTTTCTTCTGGATGATGTCCAGTTGGAGCAGAAATTTAAGGACATTCCTCTTCAGGTTGGTTGTGAATCACATTGACGCGAACTGTTAATTATTGTTGACCACCAGTATGGGAAGGCAAAATGCAAGCTGTGGAATGCTCAAACCAATTTTGAGAGATCCTGATTATTTTCACCTCGTTTTGTATTTCCAGATAAAGGATAAGCAAAAGAGGAAACAAACTAGGAAGGGTATACTTGTAAATGAAGAAGGTGACGTGTCCCTGGAAGAGCTAACGAACTCTGGAGCACAGGGCCCAGATAATGATATTTCTCTTGACCCAGAGGGATCAAAGCCCAGTAATAAAAAGGTAACCTGATAATTTATGAGTATTGATGCTGCTGGTTCTCACTCTGATTTCAAGTAGGTGCATAATAAGAAATTTATATAGGAAGTTTTGTTGTTTCTCATTATGCATGAGGCATTAGGAATCAATGGTTAATTAGATAGTTATTCATTCCTGCGGATCACATTTCAAGTGAATTATCTAGGCTGATAAAAAATTATGTTAGCTTTTATTTTGTGCAGTTGACTACTGGTTCGGCAATGGATGCGTCTGATTTGTTTCCTTTCTTTTCCCCCCTTACTAAGTTGCTCTGCAATTAATAATATTGTCTGGTTGTTGGTTTTTTAAATAAATATTTGAATTTCAAGAGACCGTACTGCTATTACCTTATCCACAATATAAAATTGGAATAAGGAGTGAGAAATTCTGTGCAGCCTTGTTGATTACGTTCTTTTGGCAATCTTGATTTACGACCTGGGATATCTGATATCCATTGAGGAACCAACAGACTTGAGATCTTTTTTTTTTGGCCCGGGGGGGGGGGATCATCTGTTGGAGCCTAGTTTTGTTGGCTTTACGGGATAATGTTTGACGAATGTAAATTTTTAGTTCATGTGGTCTTTGCGAAGGTCAACGGATGCATGTTTATCAGAATTTTTGTTGTAAAGTTGCAGAGAAAAGCTGCCCCTGACAAGCAAACCAAATCAAGGGCCAGGAAATTTCAAAAGATGGATGAGCTTAATAGTAGTTCAATGCCGATGGACTATGAGTTGTACGATCCAGCGGTCCAGAAACCCAAGAGACCGAAGAAGGCAAAGAAAGCTGGGAATGACAAGTTTGACGACTCTTCTGCGGGTACAGCTAATGTATTCCCGGAGCTGACCCAATAAGCACTATTTTTCCACGTGAATTTAGTATGGAGGTTCAGAAGCAGAAAGAGGCTATGGATACTCAAGTTAACTAAATGCGGGAAAGTGGGTGCGGTGTTGTATCAACTTTTAGATCGGCTTTCTTTGGTAAATTGCAAGCTAGGTTGCCTCCCCTGTTGGTCTACAAATTCTTGTTCCCTGTTTCCCGCATCCATTTTGTATTGACACAAGGCAGGCAAAGCTGTATATCCTTTTACTTTGTGCATAGTGATAGCCTTAGATATATAAAATTATAGTTTATAGATCGCCCCGCTTAAACGTAATTGGGGCTTTGTACAGATTAGAATACGCTTGCTAGTTGTATTAATTTTGGCGTAAGTAAATTACATTCACTTGGGAGAATCTGCCAGCTTTGATGGTATGACTCTGGCCTTGATGTGTTATTTTTTAGGGAAAATTAATCTGCTAGTATTTATGACTTCTTCCAATTCTTAATCAGATCTTTAGATTTATTTCCTTTTTATTGCATCCTCAAAGTTATGTCTGTTATAGGTGTCAATCCTTCCACCTAAGAAACGTTCAAAGAGGGTTTGGACTTTTTTAAATTACAAAAATAAGGGGTAATGTAATTTTCAGTTATTTTAAGCCATTGATTTTTTTTTCAAATTTAATTTATCAATTTAATGTTTTAAATTTAATTCGGTTATCAATTTGGTTTTTAGTTTTTAAAAAGGAGGTAATAATATTAAAATTTGTTAACATGAATGTTTAAGTATTGATGACAGTCATAAAAATAAATATATTATAGGTATGATAAGAAACAGACTCTAAAATTTTAACGCTAAGAGAATGAGACACATTATAAGGGGAAGGGATAATTTAATAAAACATAATGATAAAAATTAATTAATTTAAAAATTAATTTATTCTCGTCTAATTACGCTCGCGCACACGCACATGTATATATTAAGTCATTAATATACTTCACATGTTAAATTATTTTTATAGTTATTTGTATTTTAAAACTTAAGAGACTCATAATAATTTAAAAAAAATAAAGCATCAAATTGATAAAAAAATTAAATTAAAGAAATCAAATTAATAACTGAAATAAATTTGAAAAATTAAAAGTTTTATTATCTAAAAAAAAAATTATGCTAGGTTGGCACGATGGAATCCAGCACATACCATAAAAGCAAGGGAGAGCGACATTTAAGAATTCTCTGGTAAATTATAGATAATAGTCTTTAACTAAAATTAATTTTTTTTGAGTTAATTTTTCAATACTTATCTTTTATATTTTCAATACTTATTTTTTTCACATTTTTATTATTCATCTTTATTATTTTATTATTCAATTTTTTTATTAATCCTTTAAGATTTTTTCTTCCATTTATTCCTTCACCTAGTATTTTGGAAAACCTACTAAAATCATTGCATATTCTTGGATGCAAATTCATGATCCTAACATAAGTTAATTTTAACTCCTTCCAGTTGAACCGAACATCACTCGATAGATATTTACAATATTTATATTTTCAACACTAAACAATATTTAATTTTAATTATTTTCAATACTAAAACCATGGAAAATAAATATTGAAAATATAAGATGACTATTGAAAAAATAAAAAATAAAAAAATTAATCAGGAAAATTTTAATCCCACCTAAGAATCATGATTTTTTTAAAAAAATTATAATTCTATATTTTAAACATAATTAATATTCTTAGAATATCCTTAAACTAAGAAATTGTTTCTTTACTCAATTTCAGAATCCAATAATGAATCTAGCTCCCCCTGGGGCGTGTGGCATGTTATGAAATTAATTCAGTTAGGATAAGATTTATATACTTAACATTATATACTTAATATATTTATATCAAATTAAATCATAACATGTAAATTTTAATATATTAATTTAATTAATAATAAAAATTTATTATAGAAAAAATAATTTATAAAAGATTCATATATTTTGATTTAATTAGATATATACACCTTAAGTATATAAGTTTTTTTCTTTCAATTGTTTAAATTTCTACTAATACACGTGTGAAGTGAAGTTCAGGACAAGACCATCAAGAGCTCAATTTCTTAGAAAAGCTGAATTCTTTTTAGCATTTAAGCATCACATAAAAAATCCTGTCTTCATAAAATCAACTAAATCTCAAATTAGAATTACATCTCTGGATCCAATTCTCAGTAATATGGAAAAATACATTTCTCGACGCAGCGAACATCAAACATAACCGCCGTTAATAATACGGGTGCGGAGGCGTAATGCTTACCTTCATTCAGTCTGAACGCAAAGAGGTCGAACCAAGAACAGTCCACGAGCAAAGTTTCATGAAACATAAAATAATTACATTAAAAAGAAAAGAAAAGAAAAGAAAAAAAAGCACGGCTCGGCTTAGGAGCGTTGTGAAGCATTCATAGTCAAAAACCATAATTCCACATAGCCAGTGTCCACTGTGCAGTGACACTAAAAAGGATTGCAATATAGCCGTTATAGTGTTATACTCACATTTTCGTCAGAATTTCAGACACAAGGACTAACCAGCAAGGAAGAAGAAACATCTATACCTCCTTTCATTTGCATTTTGCACACTACTTCTATAGCTATAGCTAGTATTCTTTCTATAGCATGTGTATTATATCCTATCACGTACTCCTTTTGGGTTTACCAAAGGAGCATCTGTCAACCTAAATCCTAATTGAAACACAATATCAAAAGTAGCAAAGCTGAAATGGGTTATCGCTTATCAACATCGAAGTTTTAGCCAAAAGTAAATTCACCAGCCGCCGAGAATCTGAGTTAGTTGTTCCACCAAAGGTCCTTTTGTCATTCTGTAATATTTTTTCACGTTGTGCTGCTTTGCTATGGCCCTCAAATTACTCAATGTCAAGTTTCTCAAGCTCACAGGCATCAGAACTGAGGTCTTATTATGAGAATCAACTGAGGAGCCGGACCAACTATTCTGAAGATCTTCACGTTGTCCATTGTCCGTTTCAACTACATTTGAGCTTGTTAAATCAATTTAACAAGTGAATTTTGTATTCCTGCCGTGACTGGCAACTTACATACATTTCTTTTCTTTTGCAACCCAAAAAATTTGCTGTCATAAGGAACAATAGCATATGCAGTTTCATGCTGTTCCAGCTGCACTGTTCTTTTAGCATCCTTGCTGCCCAGAGACTCAACTAAATTTCCATCAACGCTGGTTCTTGACTTCCGTTGCCTCTTGCATGTAACTTCCCTCGATGAACTTGAATCAATTTCCATAGGATTTTCACTCGGATCTCTAGCAGAAAATGAATCTGATTTCTGTTTTCTCTTTCTCCGATTCTTTACCTTACCAGGCTCACTCATAATGGACTTCCCAAGGTAGACAGTAGGTTCAGGTTTAGGGCATAGCACTTGAGATTTCCCTCGGTCAGTCAGCTGAGACCCAGTAAAACGGGGCTTTTTAGTTTGCATCTCTGACATTGAACTCGAACCAGAACTTCCGGCATTAACAAGGCTAGCACTCTGAAAGTACATTACATGCAGTGAACTTTTACGGTTCCATGATTCAGAAGCAGCAAGACAAAATTCTTCATCACTATCAACTTGAAGAGGATTTATTCTCCCACAATCCCTATTCAAGGGTAAATTAGTTGGGTCCAAATCTTGAGTTGGAGCAACATTTGATGCTTTCTCGCAATCTCTCCGTGCAATTTTTGGAGCAAAATTAGAATTTTCACTTTTTACTTCTTGACAAAAGCTGGAATCCAGACATTCATCTGTAGTGACATCTTTGACAGTTTCACCACCTTGCTGCAAAATTTAAGAAAAATTAGACTACAAACCCCGATGAAAATAATACTCAAATAGACTGCATCCAGTGCAGGAAGTTAAAATTGATTAAACGAGAAACAGGAGGGTTTGCACCTTGACTTCTTTCAGAACATTTTCCTTGCCCTTGGAAGTAGCAGAATTCAAGATTTGACTTTTATCTGTAGTGACAAGTTGGCTTCTTCTAACTTCCTCATATGCTAAAACATTAAAATCTGATTTTCCCAGTAAATTCATTCCATCAGGAGGACCGGGTAAACTCTTGATAGCCCCAAAATCAGCACTTCTCAGAACAATTTTACCAAGCAGTTCCTGGAAAGAATAACCAGTGTCAGGGTCTATGTAAGGTATATTGAGTGAGAAACACAAGGAAAATCCAGTCACAAAGATTAAACATATCAAACTCAAGTATAACTGAAACAGAATGAGAGAGCCCTACATAAAATAGATAAAGACCATGGAGGTTTGCTCCAGAATTATCATGGATCCAAAACAGTTCGCAAGTTTAGACCTACACAGCAAAAGAAAAATAAAAATAAAACAAGACTGCATTGCGAACTAAAAACAGACAAATGGTCTAGGAGATCTACAACCACATTAGCCCATTTACCGGTTTTTATTCTCTTTTCTTCCCATTCTGAAAACTGAAAACAAGTTCATATTGTCAGGCTGTCCGCTGACAGTATAAAATTGTCTACTTGTAACTCTGAGTGCATTGTCACATCAGGAAGACTTAACTGTTTCATCTTATTGGACAAATTAATAACAGGAAAAATGACAAAAAAATCCATTTAAATTAGATAAATAACATATTGGTCCCACAAAATGGTATAATTTTCCTAGAGTCCTTTGAGATCTTTTTGTCATTAGGGAATCAAATAAAATGATCAAATTGCCGTCAAAGTAAACAAAAATCTCAATCTTCACTGAAGAAACTTGCGAATTTTTCTAGTCTGTCTCGGGTTCTCTATTCACACCTTGATTCATGGTATTCTTCTGGTCCGTCTCCCTTTCCTTCTCTGTCTCCTTCTCCTTCTTCTCCTTCTTCTCCTCCCTTTCTTCTTCTCGTTCTCGTGTTCTTTTTTTTTAGTTTTTGTACATGGGTTGTTTGTTTTGTTTGGCTGCTATGCATGGGTACATATAAGCAAACATTCTTCCTCTATTGCGTCTGCTTTATGTGGATAAATTTCTTCTCCTCCTTGAAATTTTCTCCTCCCATATGTGATAGTTGAAATTGATGTGGGTTATTGTGCGTAAATGATTGAGGTTTTCATTTTCTTTTCATGCTTAAAGTTGAAAAACGTGGGTGCTGATACTTACTTAGAGGGTACTGATAAATTATAATTCCTTGTTGCATAGTTGCAAATTTAGGGACAAAACTTCTTAATATTGGAACCAATGTTTTGAATGGAGACTAGCGAATTTCCAACTCTGATGCATGTCTGGACTTGCATACTAGGATTTTCAAATGACTAATAAATTATTATGAATTTAGGGATAAAAGTTATTAACCTAGGAACTAAATTGTGAATGAAGACTTGTGAATTTCCAAGTCCGATGCTTGTCTAAACTTGCACACCAGGACTTGCAAATGCCTAATAAATTATTCCAAATTTAAGGACAAAAGTTGTTAACTTGAGAACCAAAATTGTGAATGGAAACTTGCAAATTTTCAACTCTGTTGCTTGTCTGGACTTGCACACCAAGACTTGTGAATGACTAATAAATTATTGCGAATTTAGGGACAAAACTTGTTAATATTGGAACCAAAGTTGTGAATGGAGAGTTGTGAATTTCCAACTCTGATACATGTCTAAGCAAAAGTATCATTTCCTTTAATTCCCTAATGACAAAAAGATCCCAAGGGATTCCAAGGGAATTATACCATTTCGTAGGACCAATTTGTTATTTACCTAATTTAAATGAATTTTTCTATCATTTTCCCTTAATAATATTGTTCAATAAAGAAGCTAAGGGAGAGTGCTCAATATCAACATTTGACATTTGAAAATTGAAAAAATATAACAGTGCTCAACTTCAATTCATTAGTTACTATGACGACCTAAATGTCAGAAGGGTTGAATGTTAGTATTAAAAAATTGAAAAATCAAGAGACAATGGGAAATTAACACTAAAATCAACATTTCACTTGCATATGGCCAATAAAATCTAAAAATATGTGTCAATAAAGTTTGAGTTTTTGGAATTAATACTGGCAGATTCAGTTACAAAATTTTTTTTTTTTAAAAAAAAAATCAATACACTGACTCCTAATGCAGCCCAAAACATCATAAAATCATGGAGTGCATGATCTTGGAAAAGATAGTACTGGATGAATTAAAATCTGATTAAAGAAGCATGACAAGAAGACAGCAAACCTTAAGAATGGTGGTCATAAATGTAAGGAAAATGGTTTTACCTAAATTTTTAATAATTATGATTAATAAAATCTTATAATTGAGAAAATGAAGAAATTTTATCATTCAAACCTGGCCACAGTTATCTTGACGGCAGTCTCCTAGTGTAGCCTTTAATACTTCGTCAAGTGTCCCAGCAGGTTCATTAGGGAATAGCAGCTGAATTCTGGCATTATCAGCATGATCATTCTTCAAACTCCTAATGGAGACATCAAGCCAGTTGATTTTCTGAGTCAAAGCATTGCAGCATATTTCAGGCCAGTTTTGATGTTCAGCCCAGACTAATTCATTCTGAAGTGATAAGAGATCCTTTTCAAGTTCTTTAATTTCGGTATCTTCCTTTGTTATTAAATTTTTTAAAGCCTGAATGCAAGATTTCTCATTCAAGGCATCCTCCTCCATCACATCTGAAAGGAAAAACAAAACTCCCAGTAAATACAGACGAATGATAAAAAGAATATCTCAGAGAAAGCCCAAAGAGATATACAGGGTAAAGGAATATGAACATACCACGCACACAATCCAAGTAAAAGTCATATTGACATCCAAGATGCTCAGAGTTATTACTATTGCGCGCAACTGAGAACAGCACAATTACATGCAAACCATTATGAAATAGAAGACTTACATGCAACCCGGAAAACATGTATTTCATACTGAACATTGATCATACAAAAAGAAAATAGAAACAAGATATAAATAAATGGGAAACCTTCATCATACGTTGAACTCCAAAGACCCGAAGCCATGGATTGTTATTATGTCTCTGCGCACCCCTGTAAGAACCCAGGAAAAGTGACGAGGATAGAAACGATATAGCAAATGGTGAAGAAGCAGGATTAGCATGTTTGATAAAATCACAAAAGAAGGTCCAAGAATGCTACATTCCTACCAATAACACAGAGACGGTTTTAAAAACCTGAAGTGACTTACAATTACTGGTTTCACCAACCACGCTTACGGACATTAATTAATGAAGTATTAAGAACCGTCATATATCGACCATGAATACTTAAAACAATAAATGATCATTCGAGGCCAGTTCTCCAGAAGATCAAGAAGAAAAGATGGCTCACCGCACTTCAGCACCATGTAGACATTGCGGAACTTGATTTATTTAAAAATAAACGTCTTCAAGAACAGCAATTCATTTCCAGAAACCAACAAGAGTAGCAATATTTCTCCAGCAATGCGCAATCGGGAGTGCAGCTATCCTAGCAATCCAACAGTAAGTCCGGCGAGGCGACCGCGATTGACTGAGGAATGACGAGGCTTTGCAAGGCACAACAAAGAATTTCACCTTAGAAAGACTATGAGAATGTGAGTGTCTAGGGTTTCGAGTTTCTCGAAATTCAGAGCCGAAAAGAGAAAAGAAAGAAAGAGTTTACTTTCAGCGGAAGAAGAAGCAGAGCTTCCCAGAAAAGCTGTTACTGAGAGTGACGGACGCGCGGGAGTAACTAGTAATAAGAGGGCTCTTTGTCGGGGCAATATGGTAAAATCGTAAGTCTTTGGATATGGGCCCGGATTAACCGGTCGGCCTGATTCTGGGCTGCTTTCAGACCCTCCTTTTTCGGGCAAATGGGGTCCATTACTTTAGACACACAGAACAAGCAGCTAGTTCGAACTGAAGTCAATATTCTTTCACATGTTTGTTCAAAGAAATATGTATGTGTGTGTGTGTGTGTGTGTGTGTGTGTGTTCTTTCACATGAGGTCGTCATTTCAAATATTATTATGAATAAAACAATCACACTGAAAAAAAATCATACTATATAGAGATAGACTCGATTATTTTCAAAATAGTGAGAAAATAAGAAAAATAAAAAAGGGTACACTTTGAGGACACCTGCATTTATTTTGTAAGCAGAGATAATTAGAGGTTTGAGTTATATGTGGATGATTTCTTGCGTTTAAAATTTGATAATATATTTCCCATACTTTTACATTTATTGACGTATTTTAGTTCATTAAAATAATATAATATGGCAAGCGACTTATCGGTGCATTTCTTAAAGTTTGTTTGAGGGAGTTATCTATAATCTATAAACAATTTATAGTTTAAAAGGGCTATCTCCAAAAATGAAAAAAAAAAATGTTCAAGAGTTATCTATATTTATGCTATGTCAACGTGAGTAGAATAGTAAAATAATTAATGATAGGTTAATTACCGATGCAAAATTAAAAGTTTAGGAAGGAAGGAATGTTTGCAAGTTTTAAAATGATAAATCATTTTATTTTACTGCTGGTGTGAAAATATAGAATATTAAGAAAGTATTAGAGTTGATAATTCAGGTCAAACCTAAACTTATTTAAAAAGAGTTAGGATTGGACTTAACTATATGGACTTTTTTAAAAGGATATGATATTTTAAGCCTCAATTTCAAATAAGCTGGCTTGAATTAAGTCTGACTCGAATAAACTCGACTGTTAGAATTTGCAACTTTATATTTATACGGGTTGGTAATTTTAACTAAGTCCGATAGTCTAATTTGAACCCAACTAAAAAAAATTAAGGTAAAACTTTGATTATGTAAACTTTGTAAAAAAAAAAATAACATTTTAACTCCAATCTGAATAAATTTAATTTAAACTGAGTTCATTTTAAATAAATTCAATCCACTTGAATTGTTGGCTTCAGAAGGTACACATTGAAAGAGGAGGGCGAGCATTGAAAAGTGAAAAGTGAAGACTGAGAGAGCCTAAGACCATACGACGAAGGCATAGAAGATTGGTGACGACTGATGACGTCGCCGACAGCCCTTTGCCACTATTGCCCCTTCACGTCTTCTGCAAAACCTTACTGATCGTATTTAAAATATATTAGGAGTTAGATACATTTTAAAAAACATTAATCATTTAATTCTTAAATTTTTAACTTACTTATAATTTAACCTTTTAATTATAATTCGTTGTGATTCAATATTTTATTTTTTGATTCGTTTATAACTCGATTATCAACTTTTGACTCTTTTATGACTTAATTCCTCAACTTTTATTAATTTTTATATGTCAGCTCGGATTTCACATCAAAGAACAAGATGAGAATATTTTAACGTAAGGTATGAACATTTTTTATTTCCTCTTATTTGATAAGTATAATTTTTTAAAAAATTTAAAAAATAAGGATCGAATTATAAGTGAGTCAAAAATTGAGGAATTGAGTTGCAGCGAGTTATAGTTTAAGGACTGAGTTGCGAAATTAAAAATTAATTTTTTTCTAAATTTTATAATTATCTTTTAAGCATACTCTTACCTTGTGCATCATTTTTTTTAATAATTGAAATTTTGATTACCATTATTAAAACTATATTTAATGGAAGTATAATTAAATAAATGTGCAGTTATTTAATTGATTAAAATCTCATTTAATTTTTTTAAAATCATGAAATTATTACAAATATCTTATATTATGGTTTACGAGTAAGGGTAAACAAAGACGGGGCAAAATTGGGTTAATTATCAACCCAATGCCTGGTCTTTATGTACCAAAATCATGACTAGGTTAGCTGGTTATAAAAAGACAAGATTTTGGTATTGTAATGAGAAAGCAAATAAATTAAAAAAATAAAATAACAAATAAATTTTATATATTAAATTATATTCATAAAAACTATTTCCTTAAAAAATAACATTATAATCAAAAGTTATATTTTTAAAAACTCAATAACAAACATTACTTTTACGTGATATTAAGTTAGGAAAAAAATCAAAATTTTATAATACTGACTTCTTAAAAATATTCATAATGACAACAACATAATTTATTAAATATGATCTATAATAGAAAAAATATCATAAAATAAACTAATAATAATAAAAATTTATAATAATGCGCACACACACACAGGGGGCTAAGCAAGACTGTGTCTGGATTAAACTTCTAGCCCGACCTTGTCACCGAGACCAGCTTGGGAGGCAGGTCACCAAATTGATTGAACACTCTTGTTTAAAAGAAGTAAAAGTAGCTTCATGTTTCTTCCCTTTTGTCAATAACATTTTTTTTTTGATATTGTTAACTGGATATTGTTAACTGGCTAATTTAATTAATATAAACAGATTCAATTGCAACTACTTTTTTTTTAAAATATTTTTTATTTACATAGATTCCAATAATTTTTTTCCCAAAACATAGACTCAAATATATTCTTGTACCCAATGTTATTAAATTCACAAGTTTTAATAAATTCATGACAGAAATGTAAATTCAAAATGTAAACTCTGATTATAAATTTATAAAAGTTTACCTCTATTAATAAAAGAATTTTAGAAGTATATGATTAAATAATTAAAATATAAAATAGGAAAAGCATAACTTTTGGTCCCTGCACTTTGCTCGTGTTTTGTCATAGATCTCTGCACTTTTTTTAGTGTTCTGAGTCCCTGCACTTTTATTTTTTCATGTTCTAGGTCCCTAAATTAATAAAATGAACAAAGTTTAGGGACCTTGAACGTAAAACACCAAAAAATAAAAATATAGGAACCTAAAATATCAAAAAACGTGCAGAAACCTATAGCAAAATACAAACAAACTGCAGGGACCAAAGTTATGTTTTTCCTATAAAATATAACCATAATTTAATTTAAATATATTTTGAATATAAATAATTAAAATTAAATCTATTTACATTCATAGATTATTATATTCAATAAAGAAATTTAAAACTAAGGCATTTGTCATATTTTTTTTGTTAATATTAGTTTTTATTTTTTTAGTTTTATTTTTTATTGAATCAACTTTTACCACTTTTATGAATTAAATTCTACATAATATATACTTATTTTACTTAACAAGTTTATTAGTGGTTTGATATAATTTCATAAGTTAGAAGTATAAAAATAATAAATTGAGAAGTCAATTCACGAGTTTAGCTAAATTTTATTTAACCTGAATTTATAAATAAATTAATATAATTTTATAAGTTAAAAATATGAAAACAATAAATTTATAAAATCATCTGAGAGTTTGAAGACAATACTTGTACAAGGACGTTTTTCTTCCTTTCGGGAAAATGTAAACGCGTGCTGTGTTTTTCTTTTCTCTTTTCTCTTTTCTCTTTATTTTAAAATAAATATATAAATAAATATTAAAAAAAATGCGACAAGGATTACTTCCCTTTGTCAGCTCCAACTTAATTCTATTATAATTGAAATTAATTGTATAATACCTGAATTAGTTATGTATCATTAGTTATTCTCATGTGCATGTATATATATTGCTGGCTGTACAGATATTATACAATCAATAATATTCATTTTTCCATTTTCCCAATATTTTGCTTCCAGTCACATAGTATCCAGAGCAGACTAATTCTCTTTCTTACTTTTTCTATCTTCTCTTACCTGCCTTTTCAACTTTACTCGATTTCTCTTTCTTCTTTTTCTCTTTCGTCTTTTCTGATCTCATCAAACTCCATGGCCGACCTCAACTTTCTTCGACGACCTGAGGCTGAAATCTCTCCACAGCAACTTGCTCCTTCTTCGGATCAGACCAGTCCATATTACATTCACCCTAATGAGAACCCAGCCCTTGTCCTGGTGTCTCCTCCGTTAGATGGTTCAAATTATCATTGTTGGGCTCGTGCTATGCGCATGGCTTTGCTTTCAAAGAACAAGCTCAAGTTTATCGATGGATCTATTTCTCCACCAGCTTCTACTGATCCTCTTTTTCCTGTTTGGGAATGCTGTAACAATCTTGTTCAAGGTTGGCTCACTAAAAGTCTCTCACCGACAATCGTTAAGAGTATCTTGTGGCTCGACAATGCTCGTGATATTTGGATCGATCTTCAACTGCGTTTCTTTCAATTTAATATTTTTCGAATTGCTGATCTTCAAGAAGAAATTTTCTCTTTGAAGCAAGGTGACCTAAGCATTAGTGAATATTTTACTCAACTGAAAATTCTCTGAGATGAATTGACTAATTTACGACCCATTAAGAGTTGTACCTGTGGTTCTGTTGATAGTGCTCGCACTTATAGGGATGAAGATTATGTTCTTCATTTTCTCAAGGGACTCAATGATCAGTTTACTTCAGTCAAATCTCAAATTATGCTTCTTGATCCCTTACCTTTTATTAATTGAGTTTTTTCTCTTGTTCTTCAACAAGAATGGGAACTCTCTCTTGCTACAGATTCCAAGATTTTACTGGCTAAAGGACCTCCTCGTTTTGGTTTCAAGCCTTCAGGAAATTATACTCAACAAAAAATATGTACCTATTGTGGCAAACCTCGTCACACCGAGGAAAATTGTTACAGGAAACATGGTTTTCCTCCTGGCTTTAAATTTCGCAACTCCTCTGCCGC